GCTGAAGTGCGGTCGGGAGGCCCAGGCCTCGGGGAGCAGTGGTGCTGACGCTGGCGAGCTCACGTCTGTGATTGGCTTGCAGAGCCTGACATCGGCATGCCGGAGCAGGACGCGCAGAGGTTCTTCCAGCAGCTCATCGCGGGCGTGGTACGTACGCGGCTGTTTGCTTTCACTTGACGTCAGTCTGAGTGAAGTGAGCTACCAAATTCTGGAGCGCTCCCCTCTGCTTCCCCTTAGGTTTATCTGCATGGGATCGGAATCACTCACAGGGACATTAAGCCAGAGAATCTGCTGTTGGATGAACGGGGTAAGTATAGCCTGCTCGCACCACGTCAGCGGCCTTAGCAGAGCTGGAAGGCAAATCGGGCCCTCGTGCCACTGAGACCTCGGCAGGGACATCCTGAACGACCGCAGAATCTGGGAGGCCTGACAGGTTTGGGCTTCAGGTTGTGAACCAAGCAGAGCAATGGGACCTAGGAACAGGGTAGCCGATGAGACGACGCGTTAGAAAGCTTCACAGCTGCTCGGTGAGCCGACGAGGGCAGGCGCCCTCGGCAGCTGTCCTGTGCCTTCTTTTCAGCCGTGACTTGGATGAAGGTGCAAGAGACTTCGCTCTGTTTCCCGGATGTCGTGAGCCTTCTGGGGGGGATGCAGAGCATGTGAGCTTATAGGATCAGGTTCAGAGAGGGCAGGCGTCAGCTACACGAGGTAGGGTGTGGGGTCTGGTTATTTACTGCTTCACTCCTAGCATCAGGGTAGTGCCTGGCATGGTGGGGTTTCAGAAATACTGAGTGACTGAATTTGGCAGACCTAAGAGGTAGGTCGGAACTCACAAGTTGTTTTCTTTTTTCTTTTAAAGAATTATTTACCTTTATCTATTATGATTATTATTATTTTCCAGTTTGATCAGAGGGAAGCGGGCGGGGGCTGGGGGGGTGAGAAAGTGAGCCACCAGGTCCGGGCCTCAAACGACAGTCAGCCATGCGAGAGTCCGATGCCTTTAACCACCAGGCCACTTGCCAGCCCCCCGAGTTGTTTTCTAATAGAGAAAAGTCTAAAATCCCATCTTTGGAGTTGAAAAAGAAGCTAAACAAGTATAATCAGGTGGATTTGGGCAGAAAGACGGGTCAAAAAGGATGCTTTCCTGGGCTGCAGCCTCACCACTGTCACCTGTGGGTCGGCGAGGAACTGAGCTGAGGCCGTCCAGGGCGAGAAAGGTGGTGGCCCAGCACTCCCTGGGATGCTGCAGTGCAGACAGAGGCTGGAGTCCTGGCCCGCTCTGTCCAGGGCAGGCTGACTGCTGAGCTGCTTCTCTGGGGGAGAGCAGAGGGCGAAAGGGCTCTCAACCATGCAGAACAAGGGGCTGGAGGCACTCACAGGAAGCCTGCTCGCTCGCTTTAATACGGCTCTGCAGGGCAGAGAGCTGAAAATGACAAGGGTTAGTTTACGGATTGGTCTAGAAAAAGAGGCTACTGTGTGGTGTGTGTGTTGATAGCGTGAGAGTCAGACGCTGGGTTATTAACCGTCGGGTACTTACAGGCATTTACGTGATGCTGGGCCAGTTAAAGTACTTTCGAGATCTTGTCCAACCCTGAAGTTTAGTTAATTTAACTAGCCTCTTCCAAAATCCGTTAAAAGGCATATGGCGAGTTTTAGGGAAGCAGGGAATTGTGTGGGGCTGTAGGGTAGTCCTGGCGAGCCGAGAAGCGAGTGCAACACACGCTGCGGGGACGCTCGGTTGTGCGCCGTGTTCTTCCTGCGGCTTTCGAATGCAGTAACCTCATGTCGCACCTGCTCCGTCTCCCTGCTCATCTACGAAGCACGCTCTGGTGAGATGCAGGTTTCAAGCTGCGTGAAACCTGGGAAAGGAGAAGCCGTCTCAGCACGAGGGAGCGCGGCTAAGGGAGACAGCTTGCGCTCTGGGCTCCTTGACCCCTCAGTTTGGCGAAGGCTGCCGCACATGAGGCGCAGTCTCCGGTCAGTTGCTCCACTTCTGTCTGCCTCACTCTCCTTACCTTAAGGTGGGGTAAGGACAGGGATACCCGTGCCTGTGTCTCTCTTCTGGTAGGTACCTGGCACACAGGGGATGCTGAGAAAACGGTAGCTGTTGCTACGTAAAAATCCAGTGTAAATTAGATCGTGTGATACGTGCTTTTTTCTTATGTTTATGTGAATTTTACTTTTTACTCTTTTAATATATGTTTAGACAGCATGAAAATCTTTTATTTAAAACTTTAAAAGCTTAGGCGCCTATGGTGTCAGCAGGTGGCATGGTGGTTAATGTGCTGGATCCCACATGGCCTCTTCCCCAGTTCGAGTGCTAGACCCAGCATCCCTGGAGGACGGAGTGGAAGGGGTAGTGGTGTGGCCATCCCCAGAGGGCGATTTCTTCTTTTCCCCCTTTCTCTGTCTCATTCTGGCAAGTGCCATATGCCCTATAGCAAAAATATCTAAAAAAAAAAAAAAAATTAGGCACATAAAAGTTTTATAAAATAAATAATACTGAAATATAATAAATATCTTTGTACTCATGGGTTTAAAAAATAAAACATAATAGTGGTGGTTTTGTAAAAACTGGAAACACCCAAAGGTATACCAACAATAAAACATAAATTATGAGATGGATGAATCATACCTACAAGCAGTGACATGGGTGAATTTCAAGAATATGGTAGCAAAAAAAGGACAGTTGAAAAAGGAATGATGTGGTCTAATTCTGTATAGTGAAGTGCAAAAATAGATAAAACCAAATATATTAAAAACAAACATGGAAAACCACTTAGAAAAACGAGAGCATACTAAAGCTCAGCTGGCCTTTCCTCTGAGCAGGAAGAGGAGGGGACCGATTGAGGGAAGAATCTTCAGGGCTTTCAGAGGAAATATAACACTATTAAACTGGGTATCAGGCGAGTGGATATTCATTGTTCTTTATTCTTATTCTTTATTATTTGTATGTCATATCTCAATATTCTTTTGTTTCTACTCAGTATTTAGTAATTTAAAAAATACATGTTACCAATTTTGAGGCCTGTTCTGTCCAATGCCGTGGTGGTCTGCCTGGCAACCGTTGTGCCTCCCTGAGGTACGTGCACTCACGGAGGCCTACAGAGGGAGGGTGAGAAATCACCCCCTCTCCCCCCAGGGGTATGGCTCATTCTCCTGGGATTTGGGGCACACATGAACACATGCCAGGCCTGATTTTCAAGCCCTCACGTCCAAGACTTGAACTGCTTTCTGCCACGTGGGGGTCCAGCACCTTAAACACCATGCCACCTGCCGGCCTTTCGTAGCCCTCCGGGTCGTCCACTGTCAGTCTTTGTGCACGGACCTGCTGCCACTCTGGCAGGCCCGGTGCTTGTCGTCACTACCGCGGGCACTCGCCCAGTGCTGGGCCCTGCCTGCGGGGGTGTTGAGGGTTGAGGACGGAAAACCGGCGTGAACGTTGCCCTTCTGGTTTGTTTCTGTGTGCACGTCCCTCCTCCTCTTTAACTCAGCCACCATGTGGAGTCCGCAGGGGTGCTGGGCTCCACGTCTCCCTTGCCACCTGGGTTGGTTTGCTGCCAAGATCTCCGGCTGTACCTTTGATGTCGCTGGCGTCCCAGCCCCACGCCACGCTCGCTACACCGCCGGGAGTGCTCTTCCCGAGGGCGGCTCCTGCTGTCTCCAGCGTCCGTCAGCCCAGCCCGGGCCTTGGTGTTGCCGTTCTCTCTCAAGTTCGTAGAAGAGACGCCGCCTTCCTCTAGTTTTAAATTTATTTTATTTTAAGAGGGAGAAAAGTTCTGCAGACCCTGAGTGATGTCTGATTTTCCAGGGAAACCAAGTTCCCCCAAGCATATCTGAAACGTCTCCGGTGACAGCCCTGTCCCTTTTGGCCTAGACAACCTCAAGATCTCGGACTTCGGCTTGGCCACGGTGTTCCGGCACAACCGCCGGGAGCGCCTGCTGAGTAAGATGTGTGGCACCCTGCCCTATGTCGCCCCCGAGCTCCTGAAGAGGAGGGAGTTCCGCGCAGAGCCAGTCGACGTCTGGTCCTGCGGGATCGTGCTCACTGCCATGCTGGCTGGAGGTGAGAGCTGGCGGTCAGAGCCCGCCCTGTGGGTCAGCGCGAGTGCTGCAGCCGGGCCGTCCAGGGGCACCCGGTCAGCCGGGCTGCTCGGCCCGCACACAGCAGACGTGTGTTTCACCTGGTTCTGGAGCCCGGGTCTCCGAGGTCAGGGCGCCGGCTGGCCGTGTTCTGGCCGGCAGGTGCCATTCTGCTGTGTGCTCACATGGCAGAGAGCAGAGGCAAGCCCCTGACACTGACCCCAGTCCCGGGGTACCCACTGCCTACCAAGATCCTCCCACGTGCTGTCACGTAGCTTAGGGTGACAAACAGAGGCAGGGTCCCTGTACTACGGCCCGCCCCGGCCTCTGTGTCTGGGGTACTCTGGGTGGGGTCTGGCCCGCTGTGTCCTGTCCAGCCCAGCGTGTGACCCCAGGGGACACCAGCAGTCACTTACAGTTACCTTGGACGGGTCGGAGCTGTGCACCCCAAGGCTGCGGTAAAATGAGGGGTCGCTGTCGAAGGGACAGTCTCCGCAGCTGCCCGTGTAGTCACAGGCGCGCTCTGAGGAGAGCAGGGCAAGAAGGGGCTCGTCCTCGGAGCGCCTCTGCTCTGCCGGGGGGTTCTCTGCCTAGCTTGAAAACCGTGCTGAGTGAAAGCTGGAGGAGGCTGGGTGGGGGTCGCGGACTCTGTCCTGAACGCCGCGCTCAGCGGACTCTGGGGCTTGTTTCATTTTTAGAACTGCCGTGGGACCAGCCCAGTGACAGTTGTCAGGAATATTCTGATTGGAAAGAAAAGAAAACATACCTCAACCCTTGGAAAAAAATCGATTCTGCTCCTCTAGGTAACTCAGTTCACCGTCATTAAAAGTACTGACTTCTGACATTATTTTCCTTTAACTTTTAAATAGTCAAATAATATGTCCTTGTAGGTGCACTAGAAAATGTAAATAACAAGGAAAAACCGCCTTAACCAGCACTCAAGTAACTCTAAGATGTGATAAGCACCTACACTTCGTAACACGTACATGTGCGTGTGAGCGGTTTCTCAGTCTGTTACACACAGTGGGGTCTTGCCGCACATGCTGTCTCATAACCAGGATGTGGTCTTAATGCTCTGTGGACATACAGCTATGATTCTAATTGTGGGTCTACATTCTGTTTTGTTTTCTAAGTTGATTTACTTCTGTGAGACACAGAAAGGTAGAAACGTCTGTCTTTTGCTTGTGAGCCAGACGGCACCCCAGCAGGGCCATTTTTTTCCTTTCACTGCCAGAGGGTCCACGCAGCTGTGTGAGGCTGGGGTGAAGCACCCCCAGTGGAGCCTCTGAGGGCCGCCCTCTGGTCGTCCATGCCGTGAGGGCCCTGGGCAGGTGCCTGTGTGGCCTTCAAGCTGCCAGGCCATCAGGTGGACTCTGGTCGGCCGCGGGGAATCTGACTTCCACTGCGCAGGCCTGGACGCTGTGCTCCTTCTCAGCCTGCCCTGGGTCACGGCAGTCTTGTGGTGCACGCGGGTCTCTGGACCCCAGCCCAGAAGCTCTCCCTGTGTGTCCTACGGAGCTTTGTTTACTGCTGTGCCCTGGCTGCTTCGTGACTGTGTTCGAAGGCCCTGACTGTGTATCCCTCCCTCCCCTCCTCCCTCCCTCCCTCCCTTCCTTCCTTCCTTTCTGTCTTTCTGTCTTTTTTTTAAAAAAAGAAATATGTATTAAATTTTATTTATCTATACATTTTTCTTTTTTTTTTTCTTTTTTTTTTTTGGAGAGGTTTTTGCTATAGGGCATGTGCGCTCGCCAGACAGAGAGAGACAGAGAGACAGAAAGCGAGAAATCACCCCCCAGGGGGGATGGCCACACCGCAATCCCTTCTCCTCCATTCTCCTCTCGGGATCTTGGGCACGCACGCACACGCGCCCGGCATGAGTTTAAGCCGTAGGGTATGGGACTTGAACCGCAGTCGGCTACATGGGAGTCCAGCGACATAGCCATTACGCTAAGGATATTTCTTGATAGACTTATGCAGTTCACTTTGTTGGAGGTTTAAATATTTTTCTAAATTTTTGCTGTTACAATAAAGATATGATAAGCTTCAATATAACTTAATCTTTGTGTGTGTGTGTATATATACTTTTTAAAAAAAGAAATATGTATTAAATTTTATTTATCTATACATTTTTCTTTTTTTTTTTCTTTTTTTTTTTTGGAGAGGTTTTTGCTATAGGGCATGTGCGCTCGCCAGACAGAGAGAGACAGAGAGACAGAAAGCGAGA